CCGAACCCCCACAATGCCTTAAGCAAAATAATGTTGAAGGCAAAGCTTGTTCAAACCTCCGAACATAATCTAACTATTTCATGCTAAGGCATTTCAATCTTTGCAAATATAAATAATAAAGCAAAGGGAAAACTCAGAAATAGTTGAAGGGAAAAAGCCTTATATACATATCAAAAGATTTTTTTACAAGGGCCAAACGACCCTGGAAAAACTTTTACAAAGGCCAAACGACCTAAAAAGGTAATACAAAAAGAAGAAAAGCAAAAACATTTGTGAAGCGCCTAAGTGGCCTAGTCTTTGCCAGGGGCCGCCTCATCATTAGGACCTTCAGGGTCTCCTCTACTTTCGGATCCGCTCAAATCCTCGGAGTCTTCATTATCCTAGGGATAAGCCAACTTCTTGGCCTCGGCTTCGAGCCTCTTGGCACTCTCAATTTCGGTTGATAAGTCGAAACCCCGAGCATAAATTTTTTCGAGGGCCTCCCTTCGGGATTGCCGCTTCACGTGCTCGACGATATCCTTTCCTCGATCCTGGGCCACCTCGCCATCGGCCCTATATTAGGACACCATATTGTCGGCATCGAATTTAACTATCTCGTCTACTGAATTGGCTGTTTCAAGCTCCTTGTCTAGATTTTCTCGATCGAAGACGGCCAAACTTAGCTGACACTGGAGCTCCTCAATCTATTTGGCCTGCACCACGACGTTTTCCTTTGCCGCTGGACCGAAGCCGAAGCCAATTACGCCTGGGCAGTTTCCTTTTCCGAGGCCAAGTGATACATTTTGCTTTTCCATGCTTTGGCCTCGGCCCTTACCACCTCCATCCCTGCCCGAAGTTGGTCGATCCGGTCAAGATTCTGTTGAACTTCCGGGTTCAGAGAGTTAATCACCGAGTCTAGCTCATCGTCACTAACCTCAAAGGCTTTTACCTTTTCCACCAGGTCGGCTTGCTCTTTTCGAGCTGCCTCTAGCTCAGCTCGAAGGCTCTTAGCCTTCCCGTCACGTTGCTCGCTGAGAAGTTTGTAAGCATACCTCTTCTCAGTGAGCCGCAAATATCGGCCTCATACTAGTTTAGCTCTTCCCGATATCGGAGAAAAGTCTCATGATGAAGCACCGAGGCCTACAAACACAAAGAAAAAAGTTATGATCATCTATAAATTAATCTAAGTACAAATTAGAGGTCATCAAGAGAATATCTGAAGTTACACGGTTTAACGCCTGTTGAGCTTCGTTGAACAGGCAGGGCTCTTCCACCTCATTCATATTGGCTTGGTCTTCCTCAATCACCAAGCACCGAAGGTAACTGGCCACCCTTACGGGGGTAGAGAGGCCCCGAGCATCCTCCGGAATGGAGATGATGATCGATCACTTCTGGTCAGGATCCACACTCGGATCTGGGAACTGGTTGATCGGTTTCGGACTGGAGAAAGGCCCCCTTATTCCCAAAGATGGAGTCTTCCTCGGCACCGCCAATTCACCCAATCTAGTAACATCCTCCTTGGTGGCAGAATCCACTCCATCAAAAGAGCTGCGGATGGGTCTTCCACTCCTTGGGCCCCCTCGTTGGGGCATTCTTTCACCGTCTTAGTCTCGTTGATCATGAACTCAGTGAACAAAGGCAACTCGGTGATGTCTATCACACCGAGTGCATTCTTCGGGGCATTACCCACATCCCGGGAGGTCTCATCCATGGCCTCCTCGATGGCCTCAACTACGGTCTCCTCGTCGTCCTCCCTGGCTCGAGACAGGTCGTCCTCACCTCTCTCTGGTTCGGAGGCCCCTTATCCCTCGAACTGTGACCACACGCGGGCCACCAATTTGGAGGCTTCTTCTTTGGATTCGTCCCTCAACCGATAGAGTGAATCCGAGGGTGGGTCTCGAGCGCTGATATTTTCTTTTGGCTTGCGCACCAACCTTTTTTTTGTTTTCTTCTTCTCCGAGCTCGGAGAACTCAGAGCTCTCTTTCTTTTCTTCTCATCACCCTATCTTGAAGCAGGGGACTCGGCAGGGCAGTCATCGTCACCGAATGGAGGCCTCAGTGTGACGTCCTTGGGTAAACTTGCAAAAGGAAACAAAACAAGTAAATACTTAGCGGTACAAAAGAAACCCAAGTATTGCTCACTCAGGAAAGGAATCTCACCATGAGAACGGGCCTCCCACCGACCCTTCAAAAGTTCGCACCACGCGAGCTCAGAATATAGTCTTTGTAACACGATGCCCTCGACCCACCCCTTGAGTCGAGGGACTGCATTCGGGACCCGAGCAACGATTGCACCACCATCAAGCACCGATAAGAAGGAAGGAAAAAGAAGAGTATAAGATTTTGAAAACAAAATTTCACTTACGTTTTATATTCCACTTTTCGGGGAACAACATGCGCTCAACTGGCGTCAAGTCCGAGATCCTCACTCGGACAAAATGGCCTAGCCAACCTCGATCCCGATCTTCATCGATACTCGAGAACGGGACCTTACTAGCCCGACGCGCAAGCTTGATTAGTCCCCCCGAAAGAGTCGAGGACTGTATAGGCGCACGAGGTGGTCGACGGTGAACAAGCATCCATCGATCTTGCTCGCAAAGAACCGGAAATGGATCACGATCCTCTAGAATGAAGGGTGGATTTAACCGAGGCATACCTCGTATCTTTTGCAGAAGTCGATGATGACCGGATCCAATGGGCCAGCGTAAAGGGATATGTAAACACTTAAGTATCCCTCGACTTGGGTGGTGATATCTTCATCAGGTCCAGGAACCACCACGTGCTTGTCAACCCAGTTGCAATCCTTTTTTGACCATGAAGAGGACTTCTTTAGTGATCGAGCACTCGTATCTCGAGACCTTCTCACACCGACCGGGTAAGGAGGGAGGTTTTTCAACCTTGAAATCAGCGGTTATCGAGCATCCACCAGGGATGAACGTGTTCAAGGGGGGTTCGCTACTGGTTCCTTGACAGCAGTACGCAAAACGGTCTCCTCGGCAGCTGGTCGCGATGTAGAAGGAGTTTCTTTTTGGGGAACTGTTTTTGAAGTCTTCTCCATATCTTTTAAAATGGAGGGAAAAGAGGAAAAAGAGGAAGTTAAAGGAGCACAATTGATGGTTTGGGGTGAAAACGAGCAAACGTTCTCACAAAGATCTCAAAAAACCAAGATATAAGTGCCAGAAAGTATAAAGATTTCTAAGGAACAAGGGTAGAAGGTTTGAATGTAAAGTTTAATGAACAAATGAGGTGGTATTTATAGTTTTCGGCGGTTAACATCGAGGAGTGGCCAACCGCCAACTGACGAGCATTTAACGCCAGTAGAACTTGACTGACGAGACGTTTCATTCATTTTGTCATTTCTGACGCGGGGTATCGAAGTCAAAATTGGAAGCTCATGTCGTTTCTCGTCGTCTACTCTCCGAAAAAGCGATGGGACTATCTGTATACGGGTAAAACCGATCTCGTAGTACATGCCGATCTCTAACATGATAGGCCAAGCTCGAGATATGGTAACTGGGAGCCTAGACCGAGGTTGGGGTCTCACCAATCCTGAGTCCGGACCATAACACCCGTCCTCGATTAATTTTGAAGAACGTTGTCAGGTAGTCAAGCTCGACCAATAGAAGGCCGTGAAGTTCGTAACCGACCGAATATCACGGCGGAGATCTCGGCATATGTCGACGTAAGATCAACAATCAGTTAATTAGGGGACTTTTACCTTTTATAGAGTTGTACCTAATATAGGACTCCCCTACTATATAAATGGGTATCTAAGTACTTGTAAATCCAATTGTAATTCGCACTCAGAAGCAATATACTATTTTCTCTTTAAGCTCTTATTCAACTGTGTCTTGATACTGATCGAAGTGCATCTTGTTCAAGGGTGGCTTACCCCTAAGGTTGTTACTGTTCAATTCGTGTGGTTTGAATTTACTTTATCATTATTATTTCAATTGCAATTTAATTTATCGCTTTGTGTCAATTTAATCCACGTATCCTTAAAACCACTTACAAATTCAATTGTTATCCGATTTTGAGGGTAAACAGAAGGATAATTTTTTCTTCTCCAGAACGGATCACTAGATTCCTTTGTGACCAATTATATCACGCGCTTAAGAGGAACTGCCAAGGAAAGTATGGAGGAAATGTTCAATCAAACTATAAATCATTGGACAAAAACTTTGGAAAGTCGCATAAATTTTTTACTATTCTAGTTAGGTAACGCCTAAGTTATATTTGCTACACTTCTAAAACAAGTAAAATAGCATCCCAAAAAGACGGTTTTGAAATTATTCAAACTTCTCACCCCTAGAATAGTAGCTGTTGAACAATTGGTATCAATTTAGGTCAGGTGAGAGTAGCATATGATCACCATATGGCAATTAATTCACTAATTATGTGCTTCGAGATAGATATGATATTCTTTATGAGTTTATTTATGTATGAAACTTTGATTTATAAAATATATTATTATATTTAAACACATCTTTTCGTTTCGAAGTCCACTTTAAAAGCCATATTGATCGATTTTGAGAATAATGCTTCACTTATTTTCTATAACATGTGAAAATATTAAAATTAGCACATGTTGACAATTAGTTGATTTTAAGATGCCAACTCAATAATCCTAGTAAAAATACTTTAACTTTTTTAAATTGAACTGTCCAAATCAGTGCTTATATGAATATAATCTCAGTGTAAAAATTGCACCCACTAGAATAAAGTAAAGCAAAATTTGATAATCACGATCAATTGAGATCAAACGTTTATTTATAAAATGTATTTCGAAATAATAGTTCTGGCACCGGAGCTATAAATAATTATTTCGTGATGAAAGTAAAAGTTAGAGATGGTTTCATGACCAAAAGCTTACTAGTTAGTAGTTACATGTTAAAAGTAGTACTTATTTAATTATGAGAAAATAAGAGATTAGTGTATGACGTAGAGAAACATCAGGGACGTCTCTGCAACTAAAAATATCTTTAAATAAAATACTTATACTTGGCATCAATTATCCACGAGGGAAAATGGCGGGAAAGGAGGACAGTACCCAAAATACGGCACCGAATTCGGAATCGGCGAAAATGGAGGACGAAAAGTCGGAGGTATCATGGAGGAAAGAAATTGACACGAATCTCAAGAGGCTCCACTCAATGCTATTTGGAGCAGAAGTAGCTCTCGAAAAGAAGGATTTCAGTTCCGCAACAGTACTTGGATTAGGACTCATCGGCTTCCTCGATTCGCATTCTCATTCCGACGTCGACGATGCCTTCATTCGTCCAATTCGATGTGAAGCTTTGTCTAAGTTTGATTCTGCTCGACGCTCTCTCATTACTGAATCCGATCGGTACACTTTTTTTTTGGGTAGTTTAATTGTGCAAAATACGAATTTTAAAAAGCTGCTCCAGCAGACCTGTGTCTCGCGAGCAAACTTTAATTGAATTTTAATTTTTTGAAATATCGTCGCAGTTTAGTAAAGTTGAGGAGAGAACATGAATAATGATGTGATTCTATTTTTCCTTTTAACTTAACTTTCTGTTAGCCGTGCAAAAATTTTGAAATATCTTTAGTAAAACTGAGGAGAAAACATGAAGAGTGATGTGATTCTATCTGTCAAATGAACCAACAGTTAATTAGATCATTCGAAACGAAGAGTCAATTGTAGTAAAGCATAACAACAACTACCCTGGAAGGGCAGATAGGCTAGACCCTCGGCTAGAGAACCAATTGTAGTAAAGCATCTGACTGAAAAAAAGAAGAAAGCAAGCACTGATATTACTTCAGTGAACTATTAATCCTCTATAAAGGATATCTTATTTCAATAGCATCACTGATTTTTTTTTTCCTCACAAACTGAAGATAAACAGAATATTACAAGTATTTCCTTGGTTTCTTATTCTTTCTTTTTCTTTCAATTAGAACCTGATACGGATAGTGCATTTTGTTCCTCATTTCATCAATCACTTTTATTAGCTATATAGATAATTTGATTAGCCAATGCATTCTTACATGTTGAAGTTGCTGATCTTCACTGTATATCTTCAGCCACGCCTTTGAACAAGCAGGCAGAGATCCAGGCTGCATATTTACCAAAGGAAAAGATATTGATATCGAGAAGATTAAGCAGTCTAAGTACTTTCTTTCTCTTTTTCAGCAACATGAAGGCAAAACTATTGGCGAACAGGTGTGTGGACTAAATAATTTATTAATTTTCTTTTTCTTTTCTGTCATCAGCACTGATAGTCCTATTTTACATGTTTGTTGGTCTTTCAATGGTTTTCCGTTTCTCTTAAATTCACTATACCTGTTTGAGTTACTGTCCATTGCTTGTGACTAAAGTGTGATTGTTTTTGTGGAATACGTGAAATCATTTCAAGTGCATTATCTTGCAGGGGAATCAATCAAAAAGGCGTGAGAATGTGAGTAGCAGGACCTGGAAAACGCCTGCACAAACGAGTCCGAGAGATTTCTCCATGATGAAGAATAGAAGCTTTGGAAATGATAGTAGCCCAGAGGTTCTCCCTGTTGAACGGTTTCACCCAAAGCATCAAGCCATGGACATTAAAGATGAAGAGGAAGAAAGAACCTGTAACAATGGTTCCAAAACAAGACGGTTGCACAGGGAAAGCAGTGGCTCTAGAGATGAGCACATTTCATCCCCCTTGTGTGCTGAAGAAACTGATGTTGATGCTTCTGCGAGTGGATTTGTTACTGCTAAAACAAAGCTGGTACTTTTCGTGGAAACTTCTTGAGTGTTAAGTTACTTATGTTATCATATGCTACAACTTTCTGGAACAATATGTTTTAGGATTTTATTTGTCTAGCTAAGACTTGTTTGATTAAATGCACAGAAAAAATGCAATTCCCTTGGCTAAACCAACTTATGTTCATTCACATCACTCTTTCTTTTTCCCTTCTTCTTAATCCCAAAATTTTATGTGAAATTTCAATTTACAGTTCTTTGTTCCTTAATTTAAAACCCAGAAGTTCTCAGGTTAAACCTTCCCCCCAAGAGAAGGGAGAAAAGAGTTAATGCAATTTGTATGCTATACATGGTCAATTTTTTATCCAAGAGGAACAAGAGTATATGTCAATAACAACTAAGAAGATTGGTGCAACAGGAGGTAATTTTTATGGGCTTAGCTTTTTGATAGAAAAAAGATGGCTGATCAATGCCTTAAACCCAAGGGAAAACTGCACCAGTTGTTATTTTTTTAATGCCTTTTTTTTCAAAAAGCGTCTATTCGAAGAAAAAAAAAAATAGATATGCGCTTTCCGGACTTAACTGATCATTTTCAGGTGATTTCTGTAATACTAGAATTGCTCCGATGTTTCTGTGACTTCTATTTGTTTTTGATGCAGGACACTTTTAGTTCTTCTGCATCATTTAATAATCAAACTTGCTGTGAAGACTCCTAATTGGAAACTTAAAATGTCTTTCAATCAATGCCGAATTTCCAACATACTATTAGTGTAAATGGTACTGTAATGTGCATGCAGCCATGCCTCCAAACATGAAGGTCGTAGCTGTTTGCAAGTGTATCTATTGTTGCAAACATCTTTATGTTTTCTTGCGAGAGGCATGCATCAATGATATCACACCTTCTTTAATCCAGACAGAAGCACTGGTTATGGAAAAAGAAAACTGATTTACTCTCAGAAAGCAATCATAAAATCTGATAGATGCGTTTTAAAAATTATGAAAATTTTTATGTTACTTTATACAAAAAGATGTATTTTGGACTGAGCAACAAATTCGAGCTGTATTATCAATTTGCCATGTTTATTAAGGACTGCTATTTTTGAAACTTCTCAGATTTGTAAATCTTTTGTTTTGCTTTTTGTCTCTTCTGATCATTTCATGCTGTAGGAAATGGACACAAGACAGAGGCGAGGGTTGAGTAGATCACCAAGTGCTTCAATTTCCCCACAAAGTGATAACACCTTGATGAACAAAGGCTGTGCAGTCAGGTCCTATGGTTTTCCACGACGTGGTGTACGGGGCAATTTCGTTCCTCCTATCAGAGGTAGTAGTGGCAATAATGTAGGCAATGTCAGTTCACGCAATGCTGGGAAAGGAGAAGATACATTAGATGACTCCACAAGGAAATGGTTAGTTGACTTCGCTTGTTTTATTTCAGTAGACATCTACTTTGATCTCACTATGCTCTTTAATTCAAGTTATATTACCTTAGTCCATCTTATAAAAGATGATTGGCAAAAGATCGAAAAAGGTGCTTCATAATGTGAGACATTTGTCTTACTTCTTCATATTCCTTACCATTCAGTTTGGAAATGTTAGTTGGTCCTGATGGTGAGCTACCTGAGAAATTGAGGAATATAGAGCCTCGGCTTATTGAGCATATCAGCAATGAGATTATGTACCGGGATCCCAATGTGCGGTGGAATGACATTGCTGGCCTGGAACATGCTAAAAAATGTGTGACTGAGATGGTCATCTGGCCATTATTACGTCCAGACATATTCAGAGGCTGCCGATCTCCAGGGCGAGGTCTTCTTCTGTTTGGTCCACCGGTAAGTTCTTAGTCTGCCTAGTCAAGATAGGTTCAAAAGAAGCAGTTTCAACTTATAACTCTCTCATGCTTTAGGGAACTGGCAAAACAATGATAGGGAAAGCTATTGCTGGTGAGGCAAAAGCGACCTTCTTTTACATATCTGCGAGCTCTTTGACAAGCAAGTGGGTATGTCGTTTTTTGTTTATGTATGTAATTCTATGAAAAACTGAAATGTACTTGCTTGTCCAGCTATCTTGGACTAGATATCTATTCAAAGGTGGATGGAACTGTCTTGAAAAATGAAGAAATGTGTATTGAGTTTGAATTCGTGATTGTAGATCGGAGAGGGGGAGAAGTTGGTGAGGGCACTTTTTGGAGTTGCCAGTTGTCGTCAGCCAGCTGTTATTTTTGTTGATGAAATAGATTCTCTGCTGTCTCAGGTATGTACTCTCTGATACTTCACTGTGAAGAGAAACCTTTCCCTTAGTGAATGATTTCTGCAATATTTTGAAAAAGAGAGCATATCTTGTAAATTGCGTGCTTCTTTTCTGAAAAATGAAAATCTTGGATTTGATCAGAACTGATGTTGAGCCATGTACTGATGAGGAATTTATTTCTTGTCAACTCTTCAGCTTGCTGATATAAATATTGGTATTATCCCAAATTTTGACTCCTTAAAGTTTTGGGACTTTGGGCATTTTGGAAAAAAATAGTTTAGAATCATTACAGAAAAAGGAAACAAAAGGGCAACTCAAAACATAAAGAAAAGTGATTTATAGTGCAGAATTCAGTGTTCTCTACTTAATTTCTGGAGTGACATTGTGGTCGAAAACTTGATAAGGCTGCAGCACAAGTTAGAAGGTAAAGCATCAATCATGCATATATAGGTTTGCCTATTACAGAATATCTTTTTAGTTTCTTGGCTGGACATTACTTCTCCACAAGCTGATTGCTAAGTTAGGGATATAGAGACCTTTCTAAAAGAATTTACATGGTTGCAGCGCAAGTCAGAAGGTGAACACGAATCTAGTAGGCGCCTGAAGACACAATTTCTGATTGAGATGGAAGGCTTTGACACTGGGAGCGAACAAATTCTTCTTATAGGTGATTTCTGGATCCCTCTAATTTTCAGCATGTTAAGAAAGAGAACGCATTCCGATTTAAAACCAAGTAACCTGTTCTAATTCCAAACCTATGCCACTCAAAAGTTCCTTTGTTGCTTTGTTTGACCAAGAGCTGTTGATTATGGATGAATCCATGAGTTGTAGTTTGTATACTGAGCAATTCAATGAGATATTTAATTTGCCAGATTCCTTTTTACTGCAGAAATTCCATAATTTAGTTACTTGCAGAAGAAAATTAATAGTATGATTCATGGAAACAGGTGCAACAAACAGGCCCCAAGAACTTGATGAGGCTGCAAGGAGACGACTTACTAAGAGACTTTATGTTCCACTTCCTTCCTCAGGTGCAAGTGATCTTTTTATTGTGTGTGATTAGCAATGGACTACTGTGACCAGTATAATTGACCATATGTCTTGGATTGCAGAGGCAAGAGCTTGGATCGTCAAGAGTCTATTGGAGAAGGATGGGTTATTTAAGCTTTCAGATGATGATATTGTCTCCATTTGCAGATTAACTGAAGGTATTCGCAACTCATGTTGCTAGCATTCCCAAATATCAAGTCCCATCTGATGGCTGTAGTTTCGTTCATTGTTGCTGTTTTTCTTTTTCCATTGCGGATTTTTTATTTATGATGTTTGCTTAAATTTTCAGGGTATTCTGGGTCTGATATGAAGAACTTAGTGAAGGATGCTTCCATGGGTCCATTAAGGGAAGCTCTTAGGCAGGGTATTGAAATTACAAAGCTAAAGAAGGATGACATGAGGCCCGTAAATCTTCAGGTAATTTTTCAGGCGTGGGAAAAACAGATGTCAGATGCTGTAAAGAAAACAAAAAAGAAAGAGCTAAAGGCATACTTGTCGGTAATTTTCTCATGGCAGCATTTTTAATATGTTGTTTTACACAGGACTTTGAGGATGCGTTACAAGAGGTAAGGCCTTCTGTGTCTTCGACTGAACTTGGTGCATATGAGGACTGGAACAAACAATTTGGAAGCTTAGCAATTTAGTAGCCAGAGGAATAATTACAAATATTTGTAGTTGCATGCCTTTTACATTTTCCGCGAGAGCAATTGGATGATCCGTGGAATTCTCTTTTTCGTTCTGCCATGTAAATTCCTCTGTTACCTAAATGACCCATCCAAAACAAGAATCTTCCAATACACTAGACGATTTAGGAGGTCTGTTGCAGCACTAATCGATGTCACCTGTTCAGAACACTGGTCTTGAAATGGGTCTCTGGAGTTACATTTTTCTTTTCTTCTCGCGATCGCACTATCATTCTCAAAATAGTAGTTATCCTATTGGCACTTGGTTTGCTTCTTGTTAAAGAGGGAAAAAAGATATACTAACATTTTTACTTTATTTTTTTTGGTAACAATTGTAAATATTACCATAACAAAACATATACACCTAAAGAGCACCTAGTTTCACAACCATCTTCTAGGAAGAGTATTGCAACCACTAGGCCTCCGACCGCATCTAATTACAAATAAGTTTTTCAATCATACTCTGACATCTACGTGCTTTTTTTGACAATTGAACTATCTCTATTCTCCCTATGGTTTCCTTCTTAATCTGTGTCACCACTATCTCTATATGTACATTTATTCCTTTGAAAATTTTCCAGTTTCTGGCCCTCCACGCGTGATATATCATTGCACTCCACACTGCTGTCAGCATTTCCTTCTTTAATCTTGGCCAATGTCTTCTATTTATCCATTCCAGCACTTGTTTAACCTCTCCCTGCTGTATAGCAATTCCTAGCCATGTCATCAACTGTTGTCGAACTTCCTTTATCCAAGAGCATTCTGCAATCGATGCCTTGCTGTTTCCTGTGCATGGTTCTCACATAAGCAACAAGTAGTATTTGCAACATTAATGTGCAACCTGATCATCCTATCCTTGGTTAACAGCCTTCCTTGCATTGCTTTCCAGAAATTAACTTTGTGCTTTGGTTGGGAGATAGAATTCCATAAAAGGTCAGCTTCTCTTACTCTAACCTGAGATCCCAGTAGTGCATTATAGCTTCTTGTAATAGAGTACTTCCCATCACGAGTGAGCTTGTATTTGTCTTGGCTATACCATGCTTGCATCTTTTCCTTTAGTGAATTTATTTTCTTTCAGTACCAACTGCAGTCCATCGGTGGCTTATGTCTCCAGATACTATCCTCATTTTTCATGTATATACCATGTACCCATTTTACCCACAGAGTGTCTTGCTTTTCAGATAGCTGCCATAGTAATTTCCCTACAGATGCATGATTCCAGCTCTTGCTGCCCTTTATGTTAAGTCCCCCAAACTTCTTTGGCATACATACCTTCTCCCAAGATATCAATGATATTTTCCTCTTCTTCTCAGAACTCCTTCATAGGTAGTCCCTACAGATCCTATCAACAACTTTCAATACACTTTGAGGAAGAATGAAGATTGATCCCCAGAAATTAAAGATAGAAAAAAGTATTGCATTGACCACCTGTAGTCTGCCGCATATGACAATTGCTTAGCATAGGAGTTTTTAATTTTCCTTGTGATTTTCTCAGTTAATTGATGACAATCCATTCTATTCCATTTCTTTGAAGACAAAGGCAGTCCCAAGTATCTGATAGGGAGAGATCCTATTTCAAATCCTGTTTGAGTCAGTAATTGTTCCTTTGTCTGATCATCTACTCCTGCAATGAATATTGTGGACTTCTCCATATTGGCCACCAACTCAGTCACCTCACTAAAATGTGTTAATGCTTACATGACCCTTGCCACTGATTCCTTTTTTCCTTTGCAGAAGATCATTAGATCATCCACAAAGATGAGGTGAGTAAGTTTCAGATTTTTGCACATAGGATGAAACTTGAAGTCTGCTAGATTGCTCATACATTTCAGCACCCTAGACAAGTATTCCATTATCAGTACAAATAGCAATGGAGATAGGGGATCTCTTTGCCTCAATCCCCTCCTCCCAGGGAAATAACCATAACCTCCTCCATTTACTTTAACTGTGAATTTTGTGGAGGATACACATGCCATTATCAGTTGAGTGAATTTCTGTGGAAACCCATACCCCTTCAAAGCTTCCTCTACAAACTCCCAGCTCACCATATCATAAGCTTTTTTTCAAATCTATCTTCATAAGGCATCTTGGTGAAGTTTTCCTATTATAGTGCCTCATCAAATCATGACAGATTAGTATGTTGTGGATCATTGATCTCCCTTGGACAAAGGCAGCTTGATTGTCAGCAACAATGATTTCTATAGCTTCCTCAGCCTGTTACACAGTATTTTTGATATGCATTTGTAGATGACATTACATCAAAGATATTGGCCTGTACTGACTAGCAAACTCTGGTGCTTCAACTTTAGGAATCCATGCTATATTGGTAGCATTTACCTGTTGTAGTAATTCTCCAGTTTGAAAGAATTCAAGTACTGCCTTTGTGACACTGTTACCAACAATGTCCCATGTTGCTTTAAAGAATCCACTACCATAACCATCAGGCCCCGGGCTTTTGTTACTGTCTGTCTTCAGAATTGCTGACTTCACCTCTTTGGCTGAGACTGGTTTGAGCAAGCACAATTGTTGTTCCACAGATAAAACTGGTCCATTCCTAAGTATTCCTTCCATTGCTTTCCTTCTATTCACTGCTCTAGACCCCAACAAATCCTCATAGAATTCCACAACAACTCTAGCTATTGCCTCCTGATTAGTTTGCCATTCACCATATTTGTCTTTCAGTTGAGTGATTGCATGCTTTAATCTTCGATGCTTTATAATAGAATGGAAATATCTTGTGTTATCATCTCCCAATCTAATCCATTTTGCCTTGCTTCTTTGTTGCAAGAAGATCTCTGCCAAGTATGAGGCCTGTCTGAATTTTTGATATAACTCCTTTTCCTTGTTCTGCAACTCAGTATTCAAAGGATCAATCTGCAGCTGGATTTGTACCCCCTTCAAATCTTCTCTTTCTATATTGACTTCATGCACTATGTTCCTGAAATGTTGGGAATTCAACTCCTTTAGTCCTTTCTTGAGGATTTTCATTTTTTGTACCACTTGAAACATTTTGTATCCATCTATTTTCATTTCCCATGTGCTTTTAACTTTCTCCTTGAAATTAGGATGTTCTGACCAAGCATTGCAATATTAGAAGGAATTTTCACCCTTACAACATCCTTCTATTTCAATGATGGCCGGACAATGATCACTAATCCCTTCTGTTAGATACCTGTTGGTGCTTGGTGGCATGGTATCCAATCATTCTTTATTAATGAACGCCCAGTCTATCTTGGAAAAGATTCTCTCCCCTTCACGTTTGTCACTCCATGTGTATCTTTGCCCTTGATTTGGCAATTCCAGCGGCTCACATGTATGTATACAGCTTTGAAACTCAGCCACCTCAGCCAGAGTGACTCGAACCCCACCACACCTATCATCTACTTTTAGAATAGCATTAAAATCCCCTAATATCAGCCATGGCTTATCACATCTTATCTTTTGTTGAGTCAGTTTATTCCATAATTCTCTTCTGCCTTCTTTTGTATTAAAATCATAAACAAAAGACACCATAGACTCCACTTGCATTGGGATATACTTAACCTCACATGTTACCACCTGAGCTTTCTTTTCTATTAGATTCACATTAAAATAGTCTGGCCTCCATAATATCCATATTCTCCCATTATAATGGGATTCTAGATTTGTTATATAGTGCCACCCTCCAAACATTTTGTTTGCAATTTGATCAATCCTACTACTTTTAATTTTTGTTTCAAGTAGATAAATCAACCCTATCTTTTCTTTATTGCAAAGGAATGTTACCTCCTTTTGCTTATTGGGGGCATTCAGCCCCCTAACATTCCAACTTAGTAGTTTAACCATGTCCTGAGAGAGGTAATGATTGACCTCCCTCATTCCTTCCAATCTTCTTTTGCACTGTCTGTACTGCTGCTTCCTTTTCAAGTGCTTGAAATGCATTCCTCTCCACTGTCTGTTGCTGTTGCCTTTGGTTAACTTTGCCTGTTCTATGAGGAGTGATCCATCCTTCATTTTGCTTCCCCTGATGACTCTTGGTTACTGGACCTATGCTTGGTAGTGTCACCTGTTGAATTTTGTCTCCATTTTCCTGTTGGGGATGCTGTGCAATTTGTTTGGCCTTCTGCTCCACTGGCTTATTGCTGACTTCCACTTGTGCTTTTGGTGTTTTCTTCTTCCTGCAATCTTCCTCAGAATGTCCATATTTTTGACAATAGTTACATAAAGTTGGCTTCCAATCATATACTACTCTCTGCTCAACTAGAATGCCTTTTGCATTTCTAAACATCATTGTGTCTGGTAATTTAGAATCCATTTCCATTTCCTATGAAATGTTATCTAATTCAATATCAATTACTGGGGTTTCACCATGCATGAGCCTTATTCTCAACCTGGGCTAAACCTGACCTCTCAGAGTCAATACATACGGCATGAGCCTTATTCTCAACCATTAATAGAGGTGACAAACATACTGCTAGCCCAAAACAATGCAACAACAACAAAGATCTTATCACCTCTACTTCTACAATGAATATTCAACTAACTTTGAAGTTAGCTTTCTCATATCTGATTCGAAGAGAGGGTAGTTGCCATTTGTCAAACTGGAAAGGGCCTTTTGCCTCTCTGTGAATCATATCAAAAGATTCTATAGTAGGGGCCTTTCTTGCTTGTTAGTGCTCTTTTCTTTATTGCAGCTAGGGCACCCCTTTTCTTTCTCAAAGTCAACTTTCTCGCTTGTTAATCAAGCTTTGAAGTCCCTACCAGGGTTATTAAAAGCGAGCGCTTCTCGCTTAAAGCGCTGAAGCGAGGCGAGGCGCAAGGTCTGCGCTTTTCTGACCTAAAGCGAGGCATCTGAAAAAAAAGCGAGCGCTTCAGGCAACAGCGAGAAGCGAGGCGAGGAAAAAAAGCGAGAAAAGCTCGCTTAAGCGAGGTCCAGTTGCTGCCTAGGGTTTTTTCTAAAAAAATTTGCAAATACACTTACGCACCTTTCTTCCAAAACATTTCTCGCTACTGCTACAAGCCAAAACATCACGTGACATCTCTTCTCAGTTCTTTTCTTATTCTCTCAAGGTAATTTTCTCTTCTCTTCCTCTTCTGCTTTTCTCCGGTATACCTACTTCCTCTCGACTCCTCTGGTTTCTTGTTTCTCTTTCTCTTCTTCTTTTCTAATTCTTTTCAGTTCTTCTTTTCTCTATTCTACCCTGTTTTCTAGTTATGCTACTGCTCTGTTTTTTTTTAAAAAAAATGTTGTTCACTGGTTCTGCCCTGTTCTACCAGTTCTGTTTTTTTTTTTTTGGTGATTGTTGTAAATTCTATCTCATTATCCAATGGCATCAAGCCAAAATAAAGTTCCAGCTTGGGCGTATGGAGTTGCAATTGGCAATAGCACAAAAGTCCAATGTTATTTTAAGAATTGAAACATTTGCTTAGTATGTTACTCCCTCCGTTCCAATTTATGTGAACCTGTTTGACTAGGCACGTAGTTTAAAAAAAATGAAGACTTTTTGAATTTGTGGTCCTAAACAAGTTAAAAAGGGGCCCAGAGTATTTGTGTGGTTATAAAAGCTTCTCATTAAGGGCAGAATTGTAAGTTTAAGCTAAATTGTTTCCAAATTTAGAAAGGGGTCATTCTTTTTTGAACGGACCAAAAAGGAAATAGGTTCACATAAACTGGAACAAAGGGAGTATTTTTTTTGAGTTCTTGGTCATTTATCTATGCCTATTTAATATTTTTTATTATGTATTAAATTGTGCTTCACATGAAAAAAGAGCGAAAAGCGAAAGCGAGGCCTCCTCGCCTTTTTCCGCTTCTCGCTCTCCAAAACACTGGTCCCTACTTTATTTGGATAATGGGATATTTGAAGAAGCACATGCTTTCCACCGTAAACCTATACCCTTGGCTGGTCTCGATCTCGCTTGGTGGTACCCTTCGCTATGATTTTTGACTCAACATTGATTTTGTGCTTGAAATGTTATCTAATTCAATATCAATTACCGGGGTTTCACCATGCATGAGCCTTATTCTCAACCTGGGCTAAACCTGACCTCTCAGATTCAATACATACGGCATGAGCCTTATTCTCAACCATTAATAGAGGCGACAAACATACTGCTAGCCCAAAACAATGCACAACAACAACAAAGATCTTATCACCTCTACTTCTACAATGAATATTCAACTAACTTTGAAGTTGGCTTTCTCATATCTGATTCGAAGAGAGGGTAGTTGCCATTTGTCAAACTGGAAAGGGCCTTTTGCCTCTCTGTGAATCATATCAAAAGATTCTATAGTAGGGGCCTTTCTTGCTTGTTAGTGCTCTTTTCTTTATTGCAGCTAAGGCACCCCTTTTCTTTCTCAAAGTCAACTTTCTCGCTTGTTAGTCAAGCTTTGAAGTCCCTACTTTATTTAGATTTATGGGATATTTGAAGAAGCACATGCTTTCCACCGTAAACCTATACCCTTGGCTGGTCTCGATCTCGCTTGGTGGTACCCTTCGCTATGATTTTTGACTCAACATTGATTTTGTGCTTGAGTTGGAAGGCTCTCCCTCCATACATCGAGTCAAGTAATTCGCTATTGGAAATTGATCTGCCACCTATCTCATGCCATGCTTCTTCTTTATCCGAATCGGTTCCTAGTGTCAGTCAATCAAGATTCGCCATCAAGAGAGGGAAGAGTCTTGACTTTAGGTTAGGTCGGTCTCATCATTCACGCAATTCCCCTGTCCATCGATTGATGAGAAGACATAATCATGATCCTGACTAGTAGCTAGTTTAGCTAGAACTTGGTTTGCTTCTCTGTAACAATGATATACATGAATTTCTGCACCAGCCATCAACTGCACAATTTCCTCAATTTTCTTGGGCTTCAGATGTGTAGTATCTTTGTTTTGAATTATCTTGCATATCAACATAGAATCCATCTCCAGTATGAATTGTGAAAAGCCATGATTAGTACACCATTTAACACCATAATTGACAGCTAGTGCATCTGCTACATTGTTGCTCTCACATCTCACGGGACAAGAGAAGGCAGCTACAAAATCACCATTATTGTCTCTGATCACTC